AAAGGTTTTTTTTTTTCATTTTGGTATCCAAGGGAATGCAACAGTTGTTTCTTTTATTCAAGGAAATTATTGATAATGGCTTCCTGAAAACTCTGAAGCAATGGCAGAATAACAGACCAAAATTTGCGGCTTAATCTTTTCCAGTTCAGATCAGGTTGATTAGCACAAACTGTTATGGGCCTCTCTAGACACTCCCAAGAACCAGATTTATAGCTTTATCAACTATCCTAAACAGGGAGCATCAACAAATGAGAGATAGATATGTACGGGGAGAAGCATTAATCCTGTCTATATCCTATCTAATCAAGCATCGGAGAGAAAGAGCATTCACTTATTTTTCTCGTGTCTAAATACAAAAAATAATTTGTTTGGCACAGAATCTTACATACGGGATTGGGATATAAAACTCATCTTGGCCAAGAAGAATCTGAGAAAGAGTCATTTGTGTCTGTTCTGCAAAAATTAGCATCCCACAATCGCTAGCTTTTGTGCATATGCTGTCTCGAAGGAAATGGAACATTGGGGTTTTTTTTTTTACAAAGAAAACAGGTAGCGAAGGTTATTAGAGCGGTTCTGAATATTTTGATCAGAGTCAACATTTTCTTTTTGCAGCAATTGGAGACTTAGTACTCTAGTTTCTTAGCTACTTCAGTTTTAGTCGATTGTACAGCATGGTTTTTGCTTTCTACTTTTTATTATGTTTGGTTTCGCATTTTCTGCTTCAGGAATTGGGGATTTTATTCTGTTTCGCTTAGCATATATATATATATAAAGAAGAAGCAGTTTCTTGCACAAAATCTCCGTTTTGAATTCATTTCTTACTTTGAATCCACTAACTGCAAACTAATAAATGACTTTAATTTTTTTAAGATTTGAGATTATCCACTCAAAAGCATTCAACCGTAGGTCAAAATCATCGAATTGCGTCGAACTTAACTTCAATACATAGAAATGAATAAACTTTGTTATAATTCAGGAAGGGAGGGAGTAATTACAGCGAGAAGCAGAGATTCTTTAGCAGAGAGTCTCTCCATTTCCTTAGCATAAATAGCTGGAGCCCCATGTACAGCCTGTTGTACCATAGCGGTGCAGGCCATTCGCCGGTAGCCTGAGCTCCCCCGGCCATTATCTGGTAACTTGGTCAAACATAGAAAAGAATGTGCCGAAGATGAATGGCGTGAGCGAATTGCAGAGAATGAAGGAAGTGAGCCTCCTTGGATTAAAGATGACGACGAAGACGACGAAGAAGAAGCCATTCAAATTCCAAGAGCTGCTGAGATTTTCTTTCAGTGCTGTGAATTGTATTCGTGTGTACTATCATGTTCCGAGCAAGAACCGGTTTTTACCCTTTTTATTTTTTTTTAATAATTCTATATTGGAAAGTGATTAGAGCAGAAAACACGTTTCGTTTCATGTGGGGCCTAGAAGTGGGAAATTACATTACTCACAGTAAGGTTGTTGGGTCATGATAACGAGAGTAATTGCGTTTGGTAACGTGATAAGCATCCTTTTAAAATAATTTTTAATTAAAAATATATTAAAAAATTAATTTTTATATTAACACATTAAATTTATAAAAAAACACTAAAAATTATAATACCATGTTTTTTTAAAACAAAAACAATTTAAAAACATCTTCAAAAGTAGAATTTATCATTATGCAATCTTATTGAATACATAATTAAGCGACCCTCCAATAAAGTTAAAATACAATCTAAAAAGTTAAGATAGATATAATAGCGTGACACGGTGAAAATCTATTATAAAACATTAGCATTATTAGAATAAAAACTCATATCCTATGAGTATTAATTCGCAAACGAGAAATATCAGGAAAATATTATAAAATCAGTTAATTTTTTTATAAGTCAATTTAGTTCGTTAGAGAACTAAAGAAATTGAGAATCTCTCTCATACAAGCTAAATAAATTCGGTAACAGTAATATTATCAAGTCTAAATATTTTATCCTTAAAAGAATATTTATACTCTTAAAAATAAAACTTTGATGAAACTATCTTTGTAGGTTAAATTTGCTCCCTTATAAAATTGACACAAAACTTATACTAATACACTCAAAAACACATATCCAACACAAGTCTTAGGCTATAGTTGAAAATTAATTAATAATTAAGTTCAAACAAGCATGTGTCTTAACTAATTAATCAAATCCAAAAGCATAAAAATTTTCTCCAATCAACCAAAATAAATAAAATATAATTGAAACTAAAATATTTACCATTAAAAAAAATTACTTCAATTATTTAATGAATTTAAACCACACTAGGAACTCTTGTAGCAAAAACTATCATAAAAAAACATTTTGTCAACAAATCTATCAAAATAGTAAAAGCAAATAATCAGTTTACATAATATGTTATTAAACTCCAATTAATTTGAATTTTTACCACAATATATTCTTATATGTCTAGTATCTCCATATAAGATTTTAACTTAATTTGATATATGATTTAAGAGATATATCTAGTCTTATAAAACTAGTCATTAGGTATTTAAATACAAAATTCAGAACTAACTTTGTTTGTATATCTTCCCTCTTTTTGAAATGATCTATCCTTAATTCAAATCATCCTTGAATCTAAATTTGAAAGATTAATTTGATGTTCAATTTCTTTTTTCAATGACAACCCACTAGAAATCTCGTAAAAAAACATATTATCAAACTCCTGAAAACAATAAAACACAAATACTTGGAATAGAGGGGTTAAATTTATTAGTATTAAAATAAGTTTCCTTGCAGAAAAGCCGGATTATTGGTTGGTTTTAATAATGGATAGATTTAACCTCACCCTATTTAAAATAAAAATGAGATTATTTCTTTAATTTTTCTACACAATTTATACTTAGCTCACTTACTTTTTTCCACCTATTAGGTCTTAGCTCCACTCTCGATTAAATTTGGATTTGTTGTAGAAGTTACTCGTGTGATAATGATTGGCTAACCTGATTTTTTTTCAAAGACTTTTACCTTGCATAAGTGAATAATGTAGAACCACTACAGAAGGTGCAAGAATTGTTTTTATATGGCTGAGTTTGAAACACGGGTAACTTGTATTTTTAATAAATTTAATTTTTTTATGAAAAATTAATTTATATATATATATTGAATTATTTTGATGTGTTGATTTTATAAATAATTTTTAAAAAATAAAAAAATATTATTTAAATATATTTTAAAAAATAACTATAATTATACTTTGAAACAAATACGGAGGGGATGAACTGCTACATAAAATAAGGAAAATTTCATGTGGTAAGATGTGACAAGACCCATCACCTGTTTCTCAAGCTAAATCATCCACTGGCATTGGGAAGTCTTTTCACTCTTGATATTCAAAATCCTTTTTTTTTTTTTTTTGTTAATTATAGTTTTATTTAATGTCTTTTGTTAATAAGTAAAGGGAAAAAACATGGATCAACTAGTTAAAACACGTGTCACATGATTAAACAGGTTATCATATCATCCATAATGTAATTAATGAAAGGAAAATATTAAACAAATTTATTTAATAAAGTGAATTAATCAATTTTGAAATTGATAGGGATTTAATTAACCAATTACTGTATTACAAGAATAGTTCACTTAAAAAATAAACTAAGTAAAATCAGGAGATGACATCAAAAGTCACTATAAAAGGAAAAACAAATCATACAAAATGTATTTTATCCCATATTAAATGCTTGAAGGCGGTAACAAAACAATTAATTTTGTTTAAAAAAGTTTAAAACTTCAACGTACAATAAAATTGTTTTTTTCAATTAGCTAACAAGAAAATAAAAATAAAATAGTAATTCTTATCACCTTTCTTGTCATGGAGTAATGGTTTTAGTGTGTATTTGGTATTGTGGTAATTTTTTTTTATTATAATTTGAAAAGTAAATATTAGAAAAACTATAACCTATAATATTTTTTTAACTAAGAATTTTAATTTTTTTCAAGTAAGAAATTGTAAAACTGTGGTATGTATTTATTAATTAAATATTTTTAAATTTAAAATTAAAACAAAATACATACCACAACACAAAATAGAAATAAACTGAGATAATCTTAAGACAAAACCCATGATTCGTGATGTTTCCAATCGTTTGAAATATGTGGTTTTTAGGTGTAAACAAGTAGGGATTTAACATAAAGTGTTTTGATTCATTTTTTAAAACTGCATGCAAAGATTAAGGTATTATTTGGAAATATGGTGCAAATTATATTTCATAAAAAGTTAATTTTTTTTTATATATTTTAGATCATTTTAATATGCTAATTTTAAAAATAATTTTTTTAAAATAAAAAAATATTATTTTAATATATTTCAACATAAAAATAATTTTAAAAAATAATTATAATTACATTTCTAAACAGTCACTGAGTATTTTACTAGGAGAAAGAAAGACGCTAGAGTTTGGCGTGGAGAGGAATAAACAGGTGACGAAAAGAGAATCATGTAATTGTTCACGAGGCTGGTGGAATACAGAGGTAGGCTTTGATATTATTACAATGATTTTTTAAAAAATATTTTAAAATAATATATTTTTTTAAAATTTTATTTTTAATATTAACATGCAAAATAATAATAAAAAATTTAAACAAAACAAATTCAAATTTTTAGACCGTGTTTCCAAGTACCATAAAAAAAATTTAGCTGTTGTAGTTTGCATTATAACTTTAATTTTGTTTGGTATTGCTGTTCAAATATGTTTTAAAAATTTTTGAATTATTTTTTAGTTTTAAATAAATTTTATTAATATATATTTTTTTATTTTTTAAATATACTAATATTAAAAATAAAAAAATTTCTTAATATATTTTCACATTACAAATACTTTAAAAAAATATCTCTACATCAATTCTAAACATGAAAAAAAAACCAGCAATCATAGACTAATAAAAACGTTTTTTTTTTTTTTACCTAGAACTACTTTGTCGTACCACCAGCTAAGCAAAATCGGGTAAAACCAGCAACAAAGCAATCCTGAGAGAGAATATTGGAGATGAGGGGGATCGAACCCCGTGCCTTTCGCATTGAGAGCGAGCGCTCTACAATTAGAGCTACATCCCCGTTTTATTAATGCTATAAAAACACTTTATATAATTAATATATATGATGAGCATAGTACACAGTTTATATACTTGTAATCTCTCAGTGTTGGCTGCTGCCGCTACTTGTTTCCGTTTTCCCGCCATGACTGGAATGGAAATCGACAGAGAGAAAAATATCCAGAGAAAGCATTCTACTTACCAATCTCTGGTCGCTATTTCCCACTATCTCTTTCTTTCTCATTTTTCTTCAGTTTTTTTTATGTCCCAAAAATATCATTAGTTTCTTACTTTTTCCTTTTGTTTTCTAGGAAGTGTGAACTTATAATTGCTAAAATTGCAGGATGAGACCTTTGATATTCGAAAAGAGACCTATAGAGGTCAGCAATATAGTCAAATATACTTTGCTCGTCTTCACTTGATGAGAACTCTGCTATACTCTCTCGTTACCGATTGGAAACCCCATGTCCCTGGTACCTCTCTTTCTTTCTTTCCTTTTTTTCCCCTTGTTGAATTGAAGTTAAAGTTTGTTTTTTTGTTTGATTAGGTGATGTGTGTTTGATTTGTTTGTGTTTTTAGCTTACTTATGGCATTTAGTGTTGTAATTTTGGAGGTGGGGGAGGATTAATTTCTGATATGTTTCTCTTAGAGCATTTTTATTTTTTAACTGAGTTGTCTTTTAGAGTAAAGTTGGGGTTTTATGTGGGTTTCTTATTATTTTGCTGATTGGTTGGTAGGTAAGAGCGAATCTGTAGGTTATGGTGGTATTTAGGGCTTAGGGTTTTGGTATATTTTTTTGTTGGTTTTTGTTGATTTATTTCATAGAAAATTTGGAAATTTTATTTTTTTGTAATTGCTCCTAGGATTTCAATGGAATTGGTTGTGAGGTTTACTATGTTGATTGACAGAGGCCAATTGTACATGGTGTTGGTAAATTTCCTGAGTGGTGTATTTTTCAATTTCTCCTTTTCCCTCATTTGTAAAGGTCTTGGATGTAGGTAGTTTGGATTCTTAATGAAGTGATGATGTGACATTGTTATAAGATGCATGGAGTGGTCTTTATTGACCAGCATCTTTTTGTTGTAGTTTGTACGGTTTTGGGGTTGGAAGAAGGCAAAGAATGCATCATTGTTGGGACCCTGTACAAGCACATGAAACTTAAACCTTGTGTCCTTGATGAATATTCTAAGGAGGTATTTGGTTGTTAATAATGAATTTCATGACGTTGTCATTTATATCTTTTTTTGTTGAAAGTGAGAAAGAAATTGTACGTTGCAAGGGTGTTTGATTTTTTAAACTTGAGTGCAATGTGCAGAGATCTGCAGTGCCTCTTGTCAAGCCTCATAACTTCATGCATCCGGATGATCATTTGGTTTTGGAAGATGAAAGTGGAAGAGTTAAGCTTGGTGGCACCGTGCTTCCACCTTCAAAATATGTTACAGGTACCTCTCATGTACAAAAATAATAAAGTCTTGTGAGGTCAAATGCAGTTTATTGGCCTGCTTAATCACTGTTTTTTCCAGTTGTTGTGTTCATGTTTTTGTCAAGCATTATCTTTCTATGACATGAAAATCATGTGGTAATAATTTCGGTCTCCTCATGCTTTTGTATTTAATGATGAATCTGCGGTTGGACTGGAATTGTGTGGATGACTAGCCTTGTTTGGCATTGCGGTCCAACCATGTTTTTGAAAAATTTTGAATTTTTTTAGCTTCATTTTTTTGATATTTTTGGATTGTTTTGAAGTGCTGATGTCAAATAAATTTTAAAAAAATATAAAAAATTATTTTGATGCATTTCTAAGCGACAAACACTTTAAAAAGCAACCCCTACCACACTTCCAAATAGGCCCTAAGGTAAGAATAGTTCTCATGGAAATACTTGTTTTCCACAACCTTTTAAGCAATATGATTTTGAATATTTTATTTGTCTGACAAACCAGTTTCACATTGATATGATGCATTTGATAGGCAGTGTCGTTGCTTTGCATGGAAAGGAAACTACTGCTGGTGACTTTTTGGTTCTAGATGTCTTTGAAGCTGGTTTAGCACCACAAATAGAGCCCCAACTTAAATCAAGTATGATATAAATTATATTTCTGGCATCCATATTCATGATTTCTACTTGGATCAGATATGTACAAATCTTTCTGCTTCTTGGTTATCACATCCTTATTCATTAAGTCTTTTTGAAGATGTATTCATCTGCATTGCCATCGTCATCTATACGGCTTTAGTATTAAAAGAATTACATACAACTGAAGATAAATTTGAAATTAACAGAAAACAGATTATATAGACAGAATTATTTTGGAATTGGCATGGAGTTTTTGTTACAAGGGATTGTAACATATGAGAAATGCATCTGGGGCTAATTTCACAAAATATTACTTGAAAGATCATAAAAATGTCGACCGAAGACCTAGTTAGCTGTTGAAACGCCAAATGGGAATTTCAAGTTGCTTCCTTTGTAGATGAATCACTTAATGCCCATTTGAACAGAGTAGACTTTGTCCATTCTTAAGTTCGATATTTGGACTCCATTTACCATGTCATCTTTTGGGAGCCCCTCCTTTTACTCTTCTTTCAGAAGTCAAATTGTCTTTTAGACCTGGCACTTATTATTGACAGGAGAGGACAAGTATGTTGTTTTTGTTTCTGGGGTAAGTGTTGGAAGCAGCACATCAAATCCTCTCCAATTTCAGCTTCTTGTGGATCATATAACAGGACATCTGGGAGATAATCAGGTTCTTACAGTTTCTTTCTTTTTTTCTCTCCCCCCCCCCCCCCCTCCCAAGGGTTGTTCTGCTGCTTATCTTGCATACTTGAAATCCTTAAATGACCAGGAACAGGGTATTGCGGCAGAGATAGTTCATGTTGTGTTTGCAGGTAATTCAGTGGAAATTCCATCTGGTCTTCTAAATGGACAGGTAACGGTTTTATATCTTTTCTATCTACTTTGTGCGTGTTCAGTTCTGAAGTTCTCCTTTTCAATTCTCGTCTCATCTTTTCATAAGATGCTCCGTGCTATTGTCTTTCTATTTTCTTACCTGTTTGAAATGGTGCAAAAGTGAAAGTTAATGCTCTGCTTGGATGTTAGAAGTAGCTTCCCCAATGGTAGCGATGCTATTTTTGCAACATTGATTAAACCTGACTGAGATATTAATGTCTGGAGGGGGGAGAGTATACTAACCAACTATTATAAGAATTAAAAACATGCAAATAATTTTCTTTATGGACTCAAATATTTAATGGGATTTTTTTATGTCATGTCACCTAAACAATTTTGTCCCTTGGTCATTTTGGCAGAATTTGGCTTCAAAGGATCAATCTAGGCTCTCTGAACCAGTTCAAGAGCTGGATATTTTGTTGACTCAGGTTGTTTTTGTTATTTTGACTAATAACTAACAACTTTTATTTACCTTTTGTTCTCCCATTTTGTCTTTCTTTTGGATCTGTTTGTCATGGTCTCATTGTTTAAAACCTCTGTTTAGATTGCTGCAGGTGTGTCTGTGGATATCATGCCAGGATCTAATGATCCAGCAAACTTTGCTTTACCTCAACAGGTTTGCCCTTTCTTATTTTTTTCCTTCTTTTGGGAATTTATGTGCATCCTCACTTCAAATTGAAAGATTTTTTTCTCTATTCATTTCTTTTCAGCCTTTGAACAGATGCCTTTTTCCTGGATCAAGAGCTTATAACACTTTTAATCTGTGTACTAATCCTCATTGTTTTGAGCTTGATGGTGTCAGGTAGGAAATGAGTGCATAATTCAACAATGAATTGTGATAATTAGATGCATTTTGACAATTGTTTTTGGTCCGTTTCAGGTTTCTTGGAACATCAGGCCAGAACATTGATGATCTGAAAAAGTATTCAGAAGCAAGGGATGGGCTTGAATTTATGGAAAGGACATTACAGTGGAGGCATCTGGCACCAACAGCACCTAATACACTTGGTAGAAGCACCTGCTATGATTTGGCAATTCATTTTTCATTTTTCTTATGTTAGCTTGATTGTTTGAAAACTTAGATAACACTATATTCAAACAAAGAGAACAGGAATACATGCAATTAAAATTCTGATTTCTTCCATGAGCTCCTAGTTCAAGAATGCAATCTCATCAATGTCTTTCAGGTTGTTATCCTTTCACTGATAAGGATCCTTTTTTGATTGAGAGCTGTCCGCATGTTTACTTTGTTGGTAACCAAGATAAATATGGAACTCGCATTTTAAACGGTATTCTCTCATAAACTCATACATAATAAATAAGGAAAAACAGATCTAATCTGTAGTTGAATTTTCTTCAATTTACAGTTAGATTTAATGTTGAGTTAAATTGCAGGTTCAGAAGGGCAGTTGGTGAGACTTATTTCCATTCCTAAATTCTGCGACACTGGAATTGCGGTTGTGGTAAGTTTTTGTATGTTATTATAATGCTCAAAGTTATTCAAGGATCGGAAACAACCATACCTGAACTTTATTGTGCAAATTTTAGCTTGCGTGATTACATGTGGATCCATGTCTTGCATTTTGTTCTTTTCCTGGGTTTGGAAGATATGTAATACCTCCTCTTTCTGATTTACTTATCTTTTTGTTTCATTTGTTTTACAACAACAACAAAGCCTCCATTGCAAACCGGTTGTCATCAGCATTGTGGATCTTCTGTTTTTTCTTTTAGGAGAGGAAGTGAAAAACGCTGATGTTAAAATTTTAAAAAAGAGAGAAGACAAGTCTATTGTCAGAAAGATGAAAGATAGAATCATTTAACCTACATTTTAGGATTGTTAAGTTGCTTTATTTTTGTTTACTCAAATAAGTTTATCAGAAAGATAAAAGCAAGAGATGGATTTGGTGGGACAATAAGGAATGTTAAAATCATCAGCGTTAGTTAATATTATTACACTGCTAATAACAATATTAAAATGACTAGATTAGATACATGAAACTATATTACATTGTAGTTCTGCTTGAACACGGCCTCTGATTACCAATCCTCTTAACATTTTAAATTTTGGTTCAT